CGCAATACCGTCCTCATCGTTCGCTGGTAGAACGCTGCCGATGCGTTCCGATGTGATACGGTATATATCAGACCAAATCTGTACCAGATCCCGTATGACGCGCTTCTTCTTGTCCATGGTAAATTCAGGGCTATCGAACACGTCATCCAGTCGCTCTCCCGCCATATATTCCATGAGAATCCACTCTGCACCGACGGGATTATCCGACGCCGTCAAAGAACACTGGTACACCTTAGGTACCGGCACGTTCCTAGCTGTATTATCTAGTCAACACCCAGCATGCCCTGTTGGCGGAGGGACCATGCACACCTCGTACTAGGTTCATCACAGCAGCCTCTGCTTTCGTCTTCCAATAGGGCTGCCTGGGGTAGATGACACGTGCGACCAGGCTCATAGGCTCGCTCCCTCGCCCTGGTACAGTATATCGGTAGATCAAAGCTGACGAACCGACCCCGATCAGTTCGCGTGTCAAGGGCAGGCCATGGCTCCCTAGGCGATTCAGTTGGTCGGTGACGATGATGTCTAGTGCTGATAGATCGAGACCGAGTCGCCATTCTTTTATCCTTTTACTAACCATTTTTTCCCACTTCGATGAGGGCGGATCATCCATTCTGGTTATAGCAGGGAGATTGCGTGTGCGGGTTTGAAAGTGAGAGAACCCTTAGAAATCAACGGGGTTTCGGGAATTGCCGCGCGCGGAGCCGAGCAGGCCTCTCCCTGTACTATGTACGGGTATTTTACTGTGACGGTCAGAGCTTTGCACACTCAGAAGTAGAGGGATGTTAGGACTACTTGGAAGAATAACTGGGTTGAAATCAGAACTGCAAATGCTACTTCCATGCTTATGCGACTACTCAGGCCAAGGCAACGAGGTTACACGATAAGCCAACCATAGAAGATGTTTTACAGTAACGACGTGTGGATAACAGCACACATGGTTCAGCATACACCAACCAACATAGTCACCGCACACCCAGCAACAACAGCAGCCCCGAGCTCATCCTCCCTCAACCTCTTTCCTCGCCTCCCTCATGAGCTATACCCCATCAGCGCTCGCTCATCTGGGGCCGTAGACAGCCGACGTGCCTCCTCCCACCGGGTCTTATCCCATTCCACGTGCACCCCATCCAGTTGTTCGTCGTATGGCACCAGTTTGGAAAGTATGAAGAACCAAAAGCAGTCCACGACGAGGATGATGAGGTATATCGGTCCTGCGAACATCCCTAGCTGGGAGGTCCTGTGGCGCATCAGCAGAAGTCCCCAGCGGCATAGCATATACCGAGGAAAGGAGGATGGGGGACAGGACAGGATAGCATACCGGACCATACTTTCCCAAAGGGAATACGGCTCGCTCGCCAAGACGTTCTCATACACCTCTTCCGTAAGCTTGGCGACCCGGGCCCAGTCGTACAGTTGCTTAACGCGAGCGTGGACGGCGTGTGAGTCGCGTCCTCCTTGGCGTACGAGGGAGATCGCATGCTCTAGGGCGCGGATCACGTCTGTACGCTATGTTATCCGAGGTCTGGGTAGATGCAACGGGGGAAAGAGAGGGAAGGGGGCGTACCGTCCGAATCCGGGTTGGCGAACTCCACCAGATCGGCAGGCAGTACTTCCGGAACACCTCCCACTCGGGTACTGACGATAAACAGCCCACAGCTCGCCGCTTCCAGTATCGAGATACCAAAGGATTCTGTAAGGGAGGTGTTGAGGAATATATGCCCCCGTGTGAGGACCTGGTGTGCTGTCAGAGGTGCGAGTATGGGGCTGGCGGGTGGGAAGGGGAGGGCATACGGATCGGACGTCGCTGTGTCGTACACTGCCGAGCAGTAGGATGCGGTCTTGCAGCATGTGTGTCTCGCGCGTTTGTTCGAGCGCAGTAAGTTTTGGACCATCTCCCCCTACATGTTGTCAGCGAGATACGGCAAGAGAAGGAAAGGAGAGAGAAGGACGGACCGACAATGAACCGCACGTCTGGGTACATCGCACAGATCCTTGGTGCGGCTGAGATAAGAAGATCTATCCCTTTCCGGTACACAAGGCGGGAGATGACGACGATCGTTACTGTGCAACGTTAGGGGAGGACGCAGCGTGGAGGGAAAGAACGGCGTGCGGCGTACTAGGTTCTGTAGGGGGAGGAGTGGACGAGGGCTCAAAGTCGGAGGGGACGATAGCATTGGGTATTACGTGTGCTTTGCTCGGTTCGAGTCTTGCTCGCAGGACCGTGTTCTCCCGGCTGTTCATGTCAGTGTATGCGCGTCGATAGAGAGGTGTACGCACCCGGTATGTGAAACACAGACGACCGCATCGACACATCTCAACGCCCCCTCCAGCAGCTTATTCGTCAATATACTCGCAGCGTCGTCGAACCCAAACAGGGAGTGATCGGTAAACACCGTCCTAACCCCCATCAGGTGCGCATGAAGCAGCGCCTCCTGGCCCAAGGACGATAGCGCTCCATGTGCGTGTACAAGCTGGATGTGTTCCCTTAAAAGGATGGAGCGGAGGTAGGGAAGGAAGGTGAAGAAGTTCGGGAGGGTGACTTGGTTTTTTGGCAGAGGAGGTAGGGGAACATAGTACACCTTCAAGTGAGGGAGTAGCCATCGTACGCCTACTCTATCTGCATAGGCGTGGGTGATGACGATGACTGTGTGATTGAGGTTGAGGAGGTTGATGGAGAGATTGTAGATGTGGTTCTCGACGCCGCCGACAGCGGGGTGGAAGAAGTCGCTGACCATGCTGCGTGGTGGTGAGTAGGGAAGGGAAGGAGGAGGATGGGGAAAGGCGTACGCTATATGCATGGTGGTCGACGAGGTCAGAGAGTGAGCGAATAAAGCAATCAGGGGAATGCTAACGCCGACATCAGGAAGTGAGAGCATTAACGCCGATGTTGAGGTCCCTGAAGAGATCCTGCCTTCCTTCCCTCACTGTGACTTACACTCTCCCTCCCTCTACTGCATTCTTCACTCCCTTATTCAACCCTTCCCTTCCCTACTCAGTTCAACCACCCAACATGTCCTCTAAACCACCCAATCCCGCCTCCTCTGCCTCGTTCGACGAGGTCAAGCGTTCCCTCCTTTCGCAGTCCTTCAAGTCTGGAGCGCTCAAATTCGGGAGCTTCGTGCTCAAAAGTGGTCGGTACGTCCCTCTTCCTCCTCCTAACAAGAGCAAACTAAAACAGCAACAGAGTCTCCCCTTATTTCTTCAACGCCGGACTGCTCAGCACCGGCTCTTCCCTCTCCCCCCTTGCCCAAGCATATGCCCATACACTCCGCTCCCTACCCCAGTTCGACGTCATCTTTGGTCCCGCGTATAAGGGCATACCTTTCTCCGCTCTCGCTACATACGCGCTGTTTGAGCAAGGAGTCGACGTGGAGTATGCATACAACAGGAAGGAGGTGAAGGACCATGGGGAGGGGGGTTCAACGGTCGGGGCGCCTCTGAAGAGGAAAAGGGTTGTGGTGCTGGACGACGTGATGACCAGCGGGCTCGCAGTACGGGAATCACTCGCCCTCATCCGGCAAGAGGGGGGCGAAGTAGTGGGCGTAGTCGTACTACTCGACAGGGAGGAAGTGGGCCGGGAAGGGAAGAGCAGCGTGGAGGAGCTGAGGGGGGAGGGGGTAGAGGTGCGCGCTGTATTAGGGATGGGGGATTTGGTGCGGTGGTTGGAGGAGAAGGGTATGGGGGATGAGGTGGAGAGGATGGGGGAGTATAGGGAGCAATATGGGGTTAAGCACTGAGCGGCGTGTATACTGCAATAAAATATGCTACTAGAATGACTGTGCGCATCTCATTACAATAAATAAGGGTCCTTTCAAACCCACGTAGGCAATCTCTCTAGTCTGCAGCTGACCACTAGATTGAATGGATGATCCGCCGTCATCGAAGTGGGAGAAAAGGGTTAGTGAAAGGATAAAAATGTGGCGACCCAGTCTCGATCTTTCAGCACTGAACATCATCGTCACCGACCAACTGAATCGTCTAGGGAGCCATGGCTCCCTGCAGTTGACACGCGAACTGATCGGGGTCGGTTCGTCAGCTTTGATCTACCGATATACTGTACCAGGGCGAGGGAGCGAGCCTATGAGCCTGGTCGCACGTGTCATCTACCCCAGGCAGCCCTATTGGAAGACGAAAGCAGAGGCTGCTGTGATGAACCTAGTACGAGGTGTGCATGGTCCCTCCGCCAACAGGGCATGCTGGGTGTTGACTAGATAATACAGCTAGGAACGTGCCGGTACCTAAGGTGTACCAGTGTTCTTTGACGGCGTCGGATAATCCCGTCGGTGCAGAGTGGATTCTCATGGAATATATGGCGGGAGAGCGACTGGATGACGTGTTCGATAGCCCTGAATTTACCATGGACAAGAAGAAGCGCGTCATACGGGATCTGGTACAGATTTGGTCTGATATATACCGTATCACATCGGAACGCATCGGCAGCGTTCTACCAGCGAACGATGAGGACGGTATTGCGCTCTCAACAGTCGTGTACGAAGGCCTCAAAAGGCCGCGCAAGGTCCATCGACTGCTGTGCAAGTTCGACCATGCAGACGCGTTCATCGTTGGGCCTTGCCACGATACTGTTTTTGTTCACGCCACATCAGGCTGCCCTCCGGTCGACAACTGCGGACCTTTCAAGGACGAGGACGAGTGGCTGTCGGCACTCGCATTTCTCGGCATTCCCCCACACGGCCCGACAAGATTATTCACCGCGAGCTGG